CACTTTTGTGGATGCATTAACATAATTGTTATACAAATTTCACAAGTGCCAAAAAGTTGTCCCACTCTTCTTGCTCTTCTAATGTGAATGCTCGTAGCATATCCTCTATGGTTCTATTTGCCCTCTCAGTTTGTCCATCAATTTGAAGGTGATAGGCCGTTGACATTGCTAGTTTTGTTTTGAAAAAACTAAACAAAGTTTTCCAAAATAAACTAGTGAAGTGAGTACCTCTATCCGTGATTAACACTTTGCTGAAGCCATGATTCACAAAAACTGCATCTAGATACAATTGAGCTAGTTGTGGAGCTCTTACTGTTTTTGTGGTTGGCCTGATGTGACAAATTGAGCAAGATGATATCTTGCTCAATTTGTCCACAAAAACCACCACTGAATCATGTCCTAACGAAGTCCTTGGTAACTCACATACAAGATCCATGGTGACATGTTCCCACCGCTGTTCGGGAATTGAAATAGGTTGTAATAAACTTGTTGGTTTTTAATTACTTGCCTTGTTTTGTTGACAAGCAACACAACTTCGAACATAAGACTCCACATCCTCACGTATTTTGGGCCAATAGTACACTCGTTGTATACTCTCCACGGTTTTCTCCACTCCCACATGACTTGCAATGGCTGTATCATGACTTTCTGCCAAAATCATTGTGCACAAATCGTGATCTTGTGGAATCCATATACGCTGATTGTAAAACGCCAAACCTCGAGATTTCTCTGCCTTTCCAGTTTGTAGTGCCCGAGTGATCTCTTCATCCTCCTTTGTGGCTTGTGACATCTTGCTCCACCAAGCCGCCTGAATTTTCACTTCTGCAACATGATTCAAACAAGGCATTCGTGTGAGAGCATCTGCAAGTTGCTTCTTTCCCTCCACGTACACAATCTTCATGTTGAAGCGTTGACGTCACTCTGCCCATCGAATTTGTCGTTTGGACAGATCTTTCTGAGTTTCCAAATAAACCAAGGGTTTATGATCAGTCTCCATCACAAACTCCTTATCACCCAGGTAATGCTTCCAATGTTTGGTTGCCAACACGATGGCTAACTCCTCTCGTTTTGTCGTGTGATAATTTTGTTCCGCCGCCACCAACTTTCGAGAATAGAAAGCAACTGGATGCCATCCATCCTCCCATTCTTGTTGAAGTATGCCACCCACTGTTGTACCTGATGCGTCAGTGGCCAACTTGATAGAACGGTTAGGATCATACCACTTGAGAATAGGTGCGTGTAACAAAGCATCTTTCAATGCTTGAAAAGCTAACTCTTGAGCTGTTCCCCATCTCCATTTTTGACCTAACATGGAAGTCAAGGCCTTAGCTAGGTGAGCAAAACTTTCACAAATCTATGATAGAATCCAGTGAGCCCTAGAAAACTCTTCAATTGAGTTTGATCCTCAGGTGCTATCCATTTCTAAATGGCATCTATCTTCTCACTCATCACTTGGATTCCTGTAGCTGTAACTCTATGACCCAAGTAATCTACTTCTGACTTGCCAAATTCACATTTTGAAGCTTTGGCATACAATTGATTATCTCTTAAAACTTGAAGTACCTCTCGTAAATGACTTCTATGATCACCCAAAGTTTTGCTATACACCAATATATCATCTAGAAAAACAATGACAGATTTATCTAGATAAAGGCGAAAGATATCGTTCATCAATCCCATGAATGTAGCTGGTGCATTAGTGAGACCAAAAGGCATCACCAGATACTCAAAGTGTCCATACCTAGTACAAAAAGCTGTCTTGTGAACATCTTCATCTGCAATTCGAATTTGATTGTAGCCGCTTCTCAAATCTAGCTTGATGAAGTACTTTGCTCCTTGAAGTTGATAAAACAAATCATCCATACGAGGTAATGGATATTTGTTTTTCACCGTTTGCTGATTCAACCCGCGATAATTGATACATAGTCTCATGGATCCATCCTTCTTCTTCACAAAGAGTACTAGAGCTCCATAAGGTGAAACACTTGGTTGAATAAATCTCTTGCTCAACATCTCCTCCACTTGAGCTTTGCATTCTTCCAATTCGTTTGGAGCCAAACGATATGGAGCTTTGCAAGTTGGTGTACTTCCAGGTATCACCTCAATCTTGTGATCTACTCGCCTCTTTGGTGGTAATCTTGCAGGTAGATCATCTGGAAAAACATCTTTAAACTCCATAAAAATGTCGTTCAAGGACTCTGGGATGTAAGGTTTGTCCGTGGACCCAATATCTCTTATAAGTCCAAGGAATCATACATCATCTCTAGAAATGGATGTTGTACCCATCACAAAGAGGGGTAAATTCCTATTCTGAGATCTAATTCTATCTCCATAGATCTTCCATCCACTACTTGTAATCACTTTTCTTCTCCAATCTACCTTCGGATTATAATGTTCCATCCATGGCATTCCAAGGATGACATCATATCGAGCTAAACGAATTACTCTCCATTCAATGCTCTCCTTGTATCTACCTATGGATAAGTCTACACTCTGTGGTAGTGTTTCTATCACTTTAGTTTGCCCGTTTGACAATTCAACTTCTTCACTCACGTCCTTCATCAACATCAAACCTAACTTCATAGCAACACTCCTTGATAGAAAATTCTCAGTTGCTCCAGGATCAATTAAAACTCTCACCTTGTGTCCTTCCATGAAACCATCAGTGAAAATGAGTTGAGCTTGCTTCTTACCCCTTCCATGAGCTCCCAACCATTGCCTTCTTCCAACCTCGCCTTTTCTTTGCTTTGTAGAACCAGTAAGGCCGCGAGGCAAGATTACTGGTGATCTTTGTTTCTCGAAACTGCTTCCTCCACCTCTTCATACTCTATCCCCTCCATATTGTTGAACGGTCGTCGTTGCATGGGCTGTCCTTCTTGTTGTATTGGCCGAACTCGACAAAACTTGGCTATGTGACCCATTCGTCCACATGCATAGCATTGGCGATTGTCACGAACTCCAGCTCCTCCTCAAACCATTCCGTTATTTGCATAACCTTCTTGCAAATTTGAAACTCTTGGTCGCCTAATCTCACCTTCAAATCTTGGTGGTGGTCCTCTTGTTGGTGCAAAACCTTCTCTACATCAAAGGTTTCCCAACTTCATCGGTGTTGGACCAGATGGATCTTGAAAATTGCTCACTGGTTCACCGTGTGTGACACCAAAAGCACCCGAAATTCGTTGAGCAATTGCGATTGCTTCATGCACAGTAGATGGATTGCTTACCATCATCTCCTTTCGAATTCGATCCTTCAAGCCTCGTTTGAACACGTCCAAGGCTTCAGCTCCACTCATATCCATGATAGATACTTAAAGATCACGAAATTCTTCAATGTACTCATGAATACTTCCTTTCTGCTTCAGATCCCACAACTTCATTCTTGCAGTTTGAAGAGAATCCACCGCTTGAAAATTTTGCAGAAGTCCTTCCTGCATTCCACTCCACGAAATGGTAGCACCTCGTTCTGAAAGCATTCTCTCCCATGTTGTGTACCATGTGAGAGCCTTATCCGTAAGATAAGATCTCATGAACATTCCTGCAATATAATCAGAAACATGAAAATGGGATAAATGAATATTCATCCTCATAATCCATCCCTCTAACACTCCCATTGCTCTACTCCCTTTGTAAGCTTCCACCTTACAGGATTTTCCCATTCGAAGCAAAAGATTTGCTTGATCTTCAATCTCTTGAAGACGTCTCCTATTTGACTCTGCTACATCAATAGGAGTTGGTTCTGGCTGAACTTGGGAAGCTTGAACTTGAGGTTCAACTTCCATCTCTCCAATTCTCTCTCTCTCTCTCTACTTTCTCACTCTCCAATGCGAAGATTTTATCTTCCATGGCTTGTTGCTTGGTATGCCCATCTACTATCGCTTTTCTCAACTCCTTCATCTCCGCCATGATTGCATTGAGAATCTCACCCATATCAATTGATGTCCCCATGCTTTTTCACACTCCCTCTAATACAAAGTGAGTATAATCACTATGTGACCTCTCAACAAAGGAGTCACAAAAGGTGCAGGTGACTTTATCACAACTCTATAGTACTCCTCTCCATAATTCATCACAAGAAAATCTCTCCATATCCTCTTCTGTCTATATACTGTTCTAATTTTAACATAAGTGATGAATCGAACCGAGACAGGTGGTTCGCGATTCAAATCCATGAAACAATCAGTATAGAATGTATATAGTACAATTCCAAGTCTCTCCATAAGTAACTATTGGAAGAATGAGTGGCACTCTTGACTCCATCACTCTAGTCATAAAATCTGCACCCCAACAAGCCACAAGGTACATCCAAAAATGATGTTTCTCCATGCAACGAAGGTGAATATCGAATAGGTTAGGAATTGGCCAGTGCGGTACTGGATTCTTGTCAATCCCGTCCATATCTGCAAAACCACAATTTACTCCTTCCACCTCTCTCTACATGCAGATGAATGACCTCTGCCAGCCTCTATACACTCTCAAGACTACATCCGTCATCACTCACTTGCTATTCCATGAGGGGTAATCCACACTCAAGGAAAGAGCAAGATCGCTATGATACCATTGTAACACTAGGGTTTAGAGAGAAGCTCACTCGAAGATAGAAACGTAAACTCTGAAGATGAGAGATACCAACAATGGTTCTACTCTAACTTATATAGCTCTCACCAACAAGTACAAGGTGATAAGATCTAATTCCCACCATCCATCTCACTCCTAGTGGATGGATGACGTGGCGGATAACCCTAACAAGCACACGGATCGTTGACGTGGCGCACCCAACTAACACTCTAACTAACACACTCAATCCTTACCTACAAGCACACGGATTGCTGACGTGGCATTGTCAACTAACACATCCACTCTATACCTACCAAGTGCACGGATCGCTGACGTGGCAGCTATGACTAGTTCACACTAAAGTATCTACATCAATATTTAGAGTAACCTCTACTTTAGTTCTAACTAACTAAAGATGATTACACTACGTCTATTTATAGCAGACTGCACCGACTACGTAATATGTGACGGCAGGACGCACTATTTCGTTTATTAGAAAGAGCCGCTAAAATGTCAGACCAAACTGATGCGGGTAGCTTGACTGCGCTACCTGTTATTGAGTGCGCCCCGACGGGACGTAGTATGATTCAAACTATGGTTGGAGGGGAAGTCGCTGGCAGGTACTACCAAACCACGACGAGAAGCAACCCGAAAGACCAGAGCGCTAGGAGGATAAGAAGAGCGGATATTCACGGAGTCCAGAAGCCAATAAATAAGCCTTCTTCGCCTGTTCTTAACCTTGTTCAATGGGTGAATGCAGCATCGTCGAAATACGATGAGAGCTGTGGGTATAAGCATATACTTTACCCAAGAATCCACTCCGGCAGCGCTCACCTTACGAGACAGGGGCGTCTACTGCGTCCGAGCGGGGTTGTTACTGATATTTAAAGCATTGTATCGGGTAAAGAAAAAGCACCTGAGGTGTTTTTCCTTACCCGATACAACATCATATTACGTAAAACACAGGAAGGAAAACAAAGGCCCGTGGTCTATGATGGTATTTTTATTTATTTTGACGATTGGATTTGTATATGAATGGAAAAAGGGCGCTTTAGATTGGGAGTAACTCTTCATTTGCACTTAATTTGTATAAAAGTGCGAGTGCGAGTGCGAGAGGTGTTACCTTCTGGAGTTTTCATGTTAGAGGGTCGTGATGGTGTCGTTTGGAAGGATCATGTGCGGAACTGTGCGCCATGCCACCTCCCAAACGTTGATGGTACTATGGATCCAAGCTTGGCGATTGTACGTGCCGGCTTGAGGTGTATGTTATGTGGGTCAGCTGATCAGGCGGCCCATATGTTGGTGTGTGATAGGTGTTCTAGGGGATGGCACATGTTGTGTTTGACTCCACCTATCGATGTTGATCCTACTGGACGGTGGGTTTGTCCTCGATGTACATCAGAGGGTAGATGACTTGATCTTCACATATTATGAATTGCAGATAGGCAACTAACGATGAGGCAACATAGCACCCGGCCTACTGGTTCGCGCACCCACGAAGGTGCATAGCCTGTAGTTGTAGATAGGGCTACCTGGGAGTCAGAGGGACCTGACCGCCAGCTAGGGGGGCGAGTTGTGATACTTTTGTGTGTGAACAATCTCGTTCCTTGTGTATGTATGTGTGAGTTGTGAGTAGAGCATGTCAGCGATGTATGATGTATGGCGATACTGAGTCGCACGACAGCTATCATGGCTCGAGACGTTGGGTCGGTTTGAGTTTGAGGACGCGGTACACGTTGGGACGCCCTGCACGTTGGGACCGCCATGCACGTTGGGACGTCTGCGGGCTCGGATTTTATAGGAGGCAAACTCGAAGAACTGTCAGATATTCGAGTTGAGCCTTATGCGTAGGAGGTTTCTCCACTAGCTTCGACTCTCATTCTACCTAAGGGTAGTGAGTTTTGCTCGACTCTCTATGTACAGTTTGTGTTTCGACACTCTTTTAGTTGTGATACTTTTGTGTGTGGACACTCTCGTTCCTTGTGTATGTATGTGTGAGTTGTGAGTAGAGCATGTCAGCGATGTATGATGTATGGCGATACTAAGTCGCACGAAAACTTTCACACTCAATCTTTACCCAATAAACACTAGGATCACTGACATGGCGCTGTCTACTAACACATTTTCTCTCTACCTAACAAGCATGCTGATCACTGACGTGACATCTATGAGTAGTGCACGTTGAAACTATAACTTAATCTTGTGTAATCTCTACTTTAATTCTAACAAACTACAGATATTTATGTACAAATAACAACAAGAACTATATTTTTGAGTAGTTTTGGAGTAACAGCAAAGAGTATTAAATTACTCATCATGATTTATATTCTGCAACAAATGATATTTTTAAGATATTCAATCAAAAAATGTTGGAAAAGTTGTGTACTATGTTGAACCAATTTGATTTACCATATAAATTTTGAACGAAAGCTGTTAATATTGAAATGTATTTGATATATTTTGCTACTTCTAGTGCAAGCATTTTCTTGACACTCTTCGAATTGAGTCACAAACAGATGATTATCATAGTCGTTTGAAACTTTTTTGTTGTATTGTTTATCCTTTCATAACTAAAGAAAATATAAGCAAATTTGATACTAGATCTAAAAAGTGTTATTTTTTTAATGTTTTTTTTAATGAGTCATGATCGTTAAAAAAGTGGAAGATTACTCATGCTCTCCATAATGACTAGTAAAAATATTCATTCACGGATGTTATTAGAGAGCAGTTTAATCATTATGTGATTAATGATGTGACACAAGGAGAAATTTGGTAGAGATGGAGCAAACATTTGAAGAGCTGGAAATAAAGGAGTAAATTATAGTTGATGAGTCTCAAGTATCTGCATTTTATGATAGAGATCAACTAAAATTATATACAACAAGATCATCAAATTGAATGAGTAAGAATACTCCAAGATATGAATTATAAGTTGATTCATCTATTCTTGTAGATCATGACATTGATATGGAGTATGATGATGACGATATTGCATTGATCTTGGAAGAATGGAAACATTCTATTGATAACAAAGTTCAACTTTTGTCAATAAGTTGAAGTGAAGCTTATGAGTCATATATAAGATTAATATAAAGTTATAAAGTAATAAAATATATATTATGTTAATAAGAAATTATATAAATTCTATGAAATGTATCTTTAAAGATTAGCAGAGTACTAAAGATTTTGGCTTCTTGTTTGATGATTCGTTAGATAATGCTGAATATTTGTTATTCTCTGTTGTTGTTGACTATGAACAAAATTTAGATAAGAGAAAATCTATTAGATATATTTTTACACTTGGTGATGTTAGCATTAGTTGAAAATATACCTTGCAGAAGTGCGTAATGCATTTTACAATGAAAATTGAATATGTTGCTGCAACTAAAGCAACAAAGGAAACTATTTGCTTTAGGGTTTAGGTTTTATCATTGAAATGATAAGCTTGTCAATCTTCACTATAATACCCAATATGCATTAGATTTTGTTGCAATCAAGTGATGAACAACACAGTGAAACACATTGACATCATGTATCATTTTATTAGACATGTGATTTTTGATAAAAGTATTGAACTAGTCAACATTGATGGAAAATTTAATACTGTTGACCAAAGTCATTCCTTTGAAGTGTTTTAGGTGACATTGAGCTACCATGTAGGTTTTCCATGCACAAGTATAGTTTACTAGCAAGTTTTATTAATTCTATATTTTTTCAACTCTATCATGTTTTGACTACAACTTAGTTTCAGTTAGCTTTAGTTTAAAGATATTACTTTGTTAGAATCATCTAGGACTTTCCGCAGAGTAACTGTATACAATAAAGAGATTATTGTTCTCTCGACAGTTGTCAAGAGGTAAGAAATTGTTAAGTTTAACTCAGGTTAGGAAGGACTGTCGGTTATATGTGACAAGTGAATTGTTGGCAATTTGTGACGGTGGACTCTTGTTGAAATTGATCTACTTAAGACAGCAAAAACATAGCTCGCCACTTTGAACATTGTTACACTGTTTTTGTGTAATAAAAACTAAGATAAGTTCTTTGACCCTCATGTAATCTTGTTTTTTGTCAAATGTTTGATTTGATTTCCTTTTTTTTTACTCAATATTTTATGTATAATAATACATATAATATGATGTAATTACTTAATTGATCGTAAAGTTACTTGACAAAATTTGTATGCGAGATTTACTTCATTGATGACGTTTTTGAAGCGAAACATTATTTTCTACGTTTTGTAACTCACTTCTATCACATGGAAAGGGTTTTTTTTAAATTCTTCTAAATCTAAAGTCGAGGTTGCGTTGATACTCTGCTGAATTAGTGTTAGCTTCGTACTGATCAATGTCAAGTACGCTTGCTTTAGACTTGCGACATCTAGTATGTTCACAAGCGAGTTGGCCGAAACATAGATGGACATGTGGCGCATTGTTGTTTTGGAGGTACCAGTGCACAAAAAATCACCTCTTATGTCATCTACGTCAGTGTTGGGGAGACTGGTCATGAGGTTAGGTGAAAGTTATGGCATAGGGATGGCGTGGTGATGAGTGATCGAGTCAAGAATTTCGTTGTGCTTACCATCATTTCGCTCTCTGCAAAGGGAGCCAGTAAGACACTACTGGCTCCCTTTGCAGGTCATATCCCAAGAACAATTTCCAGACCTGACTGAGGAGTACAAACCTAATATCATAGCGTAGACTTCGTTACATTCTCGCAAACCAACCAATTTATTATCTCTATGCTCAAAATTAATTTACAAGTGAACTTCACATGCCGAAAGACGTCAGACATTAATCTTCGGTTCTTCAAAATGTGAGTGACAGGTTACTGACTAACGTCCCAGAGAACACTAGTAACCCTGTGACTAAATACAGCTGAGTTCCACATCCGCCGTGTGAAGCGGATAAGAACTGTAGTATTTAGTCATGACGATCTCTGATCAGGACAACTTATTTCAACCTTTTCCCCTAGGATTCGCCTCGACAAAAATATGATATACATCATTTAACATTCTATCGTTACTATGCACTTTAAAGGATTGTTCTACTGAGCTACATAAATGTCTTCCTAGAACCTTTAAGTACCTGCACACCATAGCGCTGTAACACAGCTCTATGGTGTGCAGGGCTTCTCACGATATGTGTCGGGCAAAAATATTTGGGGTGTGCTTCACGAGCGCGATGCATGCAGTTGTCTGTAGTGTGGGAAGTCAGCCAGCGTCAATCTTCAACATTCTCCATCTTTAATTTGAGATGTTTCAGGATACTTCGCGGACTGCTTTGAGATACCAGCATATTATGTCAAAGCTTTGCGATAGAGATGTGGCGTATTTTAAGTTTTATTAGCAGAAACTGTGATATCGCATCGCCTGCTAGTCCCTCAAGACTTCCCTCTCTGCTGAAGGCAGAGCTCGCTGGTGAAGGCCCACACATCATTTCTACAATTAAGTAGATCTGCCGACTGAGCAGGAAGACAGCAGGCAACGGAAAAGAATGGTGAATGCGACGTTCTACTGATGTTCAGAAACATCGTGAGTTTACTACAGGGTTACTTGATGAGTTTCAGAAAACCCAGCGTATCTTCAAGCTCCCGCAAATAACTGCACATCCATTAAGCAAACACACAACATTGTTGCTTGAGATGTCTCAGAAATTCAATTTCGTGATTCTTTCTTACTGTTTGGTGCAAGTAAAAAGTCTCAACAATTTCGATTCTATTCCAGCCATGAATGTTTATTATACAAGCTAGAATGTCAGAATAACTTGCAACGCACATACTTTTACTACAACAAATGTCACTCAAATGGGGAGTTCTGCAGGTTAAGATACATACTTGTTCAATTTAACCAGACAAAAAGGCATGTCCGCCTCCCTGTTTATCTAGTTCGCATACTACAGGGCGTTGATCTTATCATGTGCCTTTGAAAGGAACGGCTGACTCCACTCTAATTCGGTTCACTCGTATAGCACCGAGCACATATTCGGGCAACTCAGATTCCTCCTTGGCCTGTGCATGAAACAAAAATTCCTGCCTTAGACTGCCTTCAAAGTCAGGACAGAACGAAAATGATCTTCCACATGGTTATATAGTTCGCTCTAAATTCGAGTATAATGAAAATTCGAACAGAAGAAACGTAGCTTACCTCGATCAAAATGGCCAGGTCAACAACAAGGCTAGTCACATAACCCAAAACCAAGCCTATGACACCCCGTGCCACTGATGATGATCCGATATCAACGTCTATCTGCGCGCACCAACAACCAATTGTTTCTAGACATAAGCGAGAAGGGCAAGACGTAACGGTTGCAGACAATCAATTTCCTTACAAGTCGCACTGAGACCAGATGCATGGCCCCATCGGACGTTAAGTGTTATCATTCTTATAAGTACGGCAACCTGATAGATATCACAAAGCTTCAAGTCATTTCTGCCAATAAATAAGAGAGATAAATGAGATAAATGATTCAAGAGCTTGTGAAACCGAGACCAAATATAGTCGGTATGTGTATCATTTGTATATTTGTCGCAAATATTTTTCGAAAAAGAAAGCCACATCAACGTCATTCATTAAACTTGAAAAACAGAAGGTTACATAGGTATATCTAACGCACGAGAGATGAACTACCTCTAGGAAATTGTCTTCTCTCAGGTATCGACAAGTCACAGCTCGGCCCAGCAAACATGCTTTGGTGCCGACGGCGCGCTTCACCATCCAATAGCCCTGAAATCCAGCCGAATACATGTTAGTGATCACATTCCTGGCTGCGTTACAACCAGGCACAGATGACCTTGACTACTCTGGTGTTGCTTGACTCAAGATACGCCCCGATGAAGCAGCAAAACAGAAAACTTAGAGAGGTATGTATATTATGCTCAACAAGACGACTGAAGGAACTTCTACATACTATTGGCAAAGACCCGCATCAACGACTTGCCTCAACGATACTAGGAATGAGCTTGAATCGTGCATTCCGATATGCGTCATCTCCATTTATAAATCGGTCCAGTAATGAACCCTTTCGGACCGGCCTGTCTGCTACATAGTAGAAAACCATGCTGTAGTTTGGTTTTGCTGGGACCTGCAAGAGTAGCGAGAGCCAGTAAGAATACGCCGACACTCGAACTTAACTTTCTATGATTTGCTTCCGACTACGTTTGAAATCCGAGAGCTGAAACTAGAGGATAATATTGATGAAGGAAGCTCACCTGAAGATTTACAACAAGTATGAAGGGTGCCATCTTCCCCGCAGCAGACTAAATCACGTTCATGAAGGAAATGGACAGATTCACATATTTCAGTTAGATATGAACAACATTCAATAAGGCATGAAGTAAGAAAGGTGAACACTTTTCGTAGTAACTTCAGTATTCTCCATTAAATACACACGCTATTAATCTCATCATCTCAATACAAGCATAATGATATGCTTCAAATGCCTAAGATTATTCACCTGCACAATAGATTTTGGATTCTTGGCAACAAAGTCCACTTTCTCCTCAGAGGTGATCCAATCAACAGCCATTAGCTTCAGTAGAGGATCAGTTCCTGGCACCTGCAATACAACCGGAAAGAGGAAAAAACTGATAAGAGTTACTTTCCAAAATCGTGAGAATCTAACTATATTAGTTGATCAAGTATTCAGTCATTCACGGGCTTCAGCTTCCACTCCACGACAGCAGTATGATCATTCATAATTCGAAATTCTTCGAAGTTCTAAACTCCCAGAATAGTAGCTATTTGAGGCGGAAACTGCTCTCGAAAGATTGTGTACCACGTTCATCAGGCACCTTGACCTGAGGGAAGGTCTGATCATGGCCTTCTAAGTTTGTACAAAAGGGAACAGAACCGTAAAAAACATTTCCTACCTTCAGACTATCGTCATTGTACGTCCGTCCGCGAACCATGAACCCTTTTCCACCTGGTTCGGACCAGCAATCGCTATCTTTGTCATACACACTTCTCCGTAAAGAACCTTTAAAGGCACTTCCGTCTATCGTTACAGGTAGGGCACTTAGCACCAGTTCTCCATTCTCTTCTCTAGCTGCACAAGGTTTGGTTTCAACTATCAGAAAGATTATCAGGTGTATGTCCCAACGATCCCCTCATGCAGTAAAGCTTTAAACAATCTGATAAATTCACTTTGCACTCTTCAGGGTCTACAGAGGTAGACCCTGAAGATACTGTAATCAACAGTAAACTTGTATTGTACTGAACAGCGATCAAATGGTCTTCATATAAAGCTCAAAAAGAGTTCTCGTTGTTACCAGGTGGTCGCTTGCTGGGCAAACCCATCATGACACTCCAGGAGACAGTCCTGAATCTGTGACTATGACCTGGAGTCTGCAACACATGTCGAATATGAGCAGAAACAAACAAATTTGTCATCGCAACGTAAGTACCGCAAAGAAGTTATTTCTAGCCGAAACCTCAAGATGACAACGGGTGCTTAGCAATCACACGAGAAAGCATTGGAGAAGAAAAGACTCATACGGTGCAAAGAAAAGGCTCACTTGCGCCCACAGAGCATCATCAACTTATCGGAAAAAAACACCATCCTCACTGCACACCTTGTGGGCAGACTTGCTCTCATCTTCTCCACTGTCTCCACCTTCTGTCTCATCCACTGGCTCTGCCCCCATTATAGCATCATAAAATTCTTCATTAGACTCAGGGACCTGAACCAGTGGATCAGATAGTGCGTCTGGAGACTCAGATGGTTTTCTGCCAGCTTTTGGACTTGTTGCCGTTATCACACGTTCTGCTGCCTCAGGTGTCATGCTAAGCTCTGGCTTAGCTGCAAAAAACTCTCTCAGCCCTGTCAAAATTGACCTTCAGATTTAGAGAGCCTCGAAACTGGAAGAGATTTTAAGTAAGAATCTGGAAGAAAACTAACGAGAGATACTATTTAAGTTGACGAGATCTACTGCGGAAGAATATCTATGACTGGAAAAAATGCTCAGTAACGGTCATTAGAGCCCCACAATCACACGGGGCCATACCTGCTATACGGCAGAGCATTACACAAGGAACAGTTTTGTGAAATTTAGCGTAATGACTGGCCTTCCACCGACCCCATCCAGTCGACCTGACTTCCATTATCTGAGTAACTAGCGATCGTGCAACATTGGTCCCAGGTCTAGGAGGAAGAGGGCTAATCTCCCAAATACCAGCTGCAGCATAGAGCAGAAGCAATTAGAAATGAGACAAAATATATAAACAATGAAATTTGTCGAAACCCACAAAAGAAGTTCAAGTTCAAATCCCAGGCACAACGGAGTTCTTCCTATCAGCGCATTTACACGAAAAATATCAAGCAGTATTCAAGACCAACGCATTGAAGGGTTTGTATGAAGAACAATTATGAAACTTCCACTTACGATTGAAGTCGATACGCTGGTATCCGTATTTTACTGGCCTGAGTTTGTGCATAGTTGAAATTTGATGAATTACTGCATCAAGGTCGATGTGACTGGAATCAGTCTACAACGTCGTAAACGATGAACACTGGCTGCAATGAAATCCGTTGCTTTTTCCACAACAATATTCACGTCATCTCAAAGACTGTTAATGGGAAACTCGACTTACAGTAAGAACCATCTTGGTCACGACGCCAATACCGAGAAAATACAAAATCCCTCTTTGCGTGCCATCTGTTCCAACAACTCGGTCAAATCACCAGTCTAAGAAAAGGGTTTCCATAAGTCCCTGGATGCTAGAACAAAGAAAAATATTGCTACTACAAACAACGTATATCAAGGAAGCCAGAAATGTTTCTAGTCGTTAAATTAGGCAAGATGCAATGACAAGTTAGGAAACAAATTCAAAGTGAGCGTACTAGCCCATAAAAATCTCCACAGATATCTTGTTGTGAATCTAAATAAAAAGGCTTCGTATTCATACTCTGCTTCTCACAATCCTAATATTTGAAATAGGAAGTCCAAGTTTTGACTTGAGGCCCACCTTTTAAAATACTTAGGATCAAATGTCCCATAAACGATGTCAGAGTGCCCATCCAACTGCTCTACAAGCTCCAAATCTGCAGTCAGGACGTCCCACCTGTGGAGCATCCTCAGTCAGAGTCAGTAAATTCAGTAGGGAATTTGCAATCAAATCACCGTGATCGTTATTTACAATGAGCATCATAGGCGGGACGAAATTAATTTTCGGTCATGGAAGATACTACTCACTGATATCTCAATGATTTCTCCAAGCTCATGACCATTTCAAAAATAGTGTCTGGAGCGGCATCCACGACTCCAACAGATTTCATAATGGTGCCTTTTTCTGCCTGTATCAAGTACCTCATCCAGATGAGCCGCAGAATCAAGGAAAAACTTCACAGCACATAATTGTAGGATCAAGTTCTGCCCTTATATAAACCTCATACGAAAAACTCATGGTAGAGTGGATAAAGTTTGATACCTTAGAAGCGGCAACATCTTCAAATATGCGTAGACCTAAGACAAAGCAACAACAACCACGCTTGGAAGAGTCAAAACAAACTTAGACATAACACAAGCGGAATATGTAGAGAAGGTTAATACAAACTCGACGCAGTCTATTTCGGTTCGTTAACGGCGAACTTAGTTTCGGTAACTACACCTCCAACATACCATTTACAGTACGGAAGCACCTCCAATCAGCCTGCTCGACAGTATCGCCTTCTCTCTGATAGTAGGAATCAGAATCAGAAGTTTGGGGACTGACCATAGAGGCTCGTCGAAGCAACAGCTCCGGGCCTGCGTATGTAAAAAAACCTTATAAAGACATATAAGTGAGACATGTAACGACATGCTTACACACACAAGACCAAGAAGAATGCTAGAGTAAAACAAACGTGCTTACACCTTCAAGAGTTTGAGGCTTTTCAATTTAACATATACGCAGAAGTGAGTTCCTGACCACGAAAATACATTTGAAACCCCGCACCTCTTCCTATAGTGATGAGCTTGTTCAAGCCTCTTGAATAAGAGCGGTGGTGTCTAGGACCATTTAATTTGAACCTACATACGCGAAATGTAAGTGGTTAGCCCACACAATGAGTAAAGCATACAGTTCGCAAAATGGAGTCTTTTCTTTAAAGAACTCAAGACCAAAAGCAATTGTATACAACTCGTAAACGGAAGAACCTTACTCGTCCTCGGTATTCATCAACCTGCGACTGCTGGCCCTTTCCAGGTCATACTCCGCCTGAGTAAAATTTAAACAAGAATCAGACAACTTGAGTTCACAGGTACAACACTTCCATGTGGGTCCAGAGGACAGAGGAAGTATGACACCCACTATGGCCAGAGTCTAATAAAGATCGTCTAGACTCGCATGATACCTTTTTGGAGAGAAAATTCTTCAGAATGTGGAAGAAACAAAGTAAAGAAGTATAAGTATCGAGATTTTTCTCTAAGTACAATACCTCCTCCTTCGCATGATTGAAGGCAGCAATCCATTTTTCCACTTCTTCGGCACTATCACAGGCGAACTTCATAGAAAAACAAAAAACCCAAAGAGAAAGTTCATCAGCATTCATGCTCGTACAAGGGCTCGTGAATCAAACTAGGTTTTTAAATGACAGTAATTCTGAAGGGAAAATAGGTTTATTTGTATCACAGTGGACGTGCGTATTTTTTTTGGTCATCTTCTTAAAGTAGATATCTTTGGAGAGGGCATCAACGACTCCGCAATTCGGCATGGGTTTCTTTTCTGTCTATGACAATTCCACTGCGTCCAGGCTTCAATTCACTCGCAATCCACCTCGGTATTCCCCTTTCTTGCAGTAGTTGAAATATAGCTTCGAGCAGTGTTATTCTAAACAAAGCGAGGAGAGAATTGAAGTCCATAAACGTAAGTTCAGAATGTAGACAAAGTATTGTACCTCTCCTTGCCTGCTGTGGTCCATACGGCTGAAAATCCTCAGTACGTACAGCGCCTGAATTAACACGAGTCCAAAGACGACAATTTAGTCCACTTTGACCACTCGCGCATACTTCTGTCATTGCAAAGCTGTTCAATTCGTCCAATCTAACGCCCCACTCGTCTGAGTCACTGCATCACGGGGTGAGGACTGGACATTTGTTACTTCAATCAATATCTGAGGTTGGTTTAGATAGAGAAATTCGTCACAAATTCTACGTATCAAGAAAAGTGTTATCTCAGTTGCAGATTGTAACGCTCCTGCAACGAATCCTACTTCAAGCGTTAAGAAACCATACCCTGCCGTGATAGATCTGCCGACCAACCTCCTCAACCATGAGATGCTGACCAACGAAACCAGTTCTGAGCGGCACCTGTACAAGTCATGAAAGGGGGTCACTCTATCAATTCCACTAGCACCCTTTGGAGCCCCTGGTTGAACGAGGTTATAGACAACCATAATAACCCAAGAAATCGATTCACTTCCATTAACAAAGAGGAGCTTAACCCGTATTGCGGAAATTAATGAAGAGAAACTATCTGCAACGGAATGCACAAGGGCCTCAACTTAATTAACCAGATGTCGAGACAAATATTAACGTAAGTGGACAAGACAAAGCGTGGTTTCACGTTTCATGCGCAAGACCTCGCCTTCGAAATTGGATCAAATCAGTATCAACGAAGTCGATCAGATTGATAAGTTTTGATCAGATTGATCAAAACCTAGACTAGATATGACCCCAAATCTCCTACTCAGTATAAAAAAATCGTCATATTAATGTATGACGATTCTCAGCATGACAAGCTGAGAATGTCAATTTTCATCTAAGCAGCTGCTACAGGAACAGAACGATGATAGTCGAAAGCCTCAACGACCACACTCTTTGGGTGGCATACAATATCCCTGCTGTTCGGATATTTTCATCTCCCATAAAAGAGGCAAGACAAAACAATACAAATTCGTAAAGAAATAAAGAGCATCTTCGATGATTCATCGCAGCTATATAACGGTGATAACAGAAAAGGTGCATCAAGGGTATAAAACGGATAAGGAAAGCAAGAATGCTAAAAGTATGAAGCATTTGAGACATTTTTCAAAAAAATACATAAAAATTCAGGATTATTCACAACGACAAGCGAATAACATACTGGCACAGAAGATTGTACTGAAATTGTTTCAATGTATGCAAATAAAGTCATCACCACAGACAACTGGATAGAGACGAACAACGCCACCGGCGAAATTCAGATAAGATGTGCTCCAAAAAGTTGGAAATCTACCGTTCGGGGCTGATCTTGAGGGTCGTGCTTGTACATCGTAACATACTTGCCCTTGATGACAAGGAAACGGGCATGGCAGAAAGGATATCCAAGAGAATTGAGCCCCACATGGTACACCCACCCTGCGTAGGCCGCTGACTCCCTCTGTTCTCTCTGCGAATTTGGAGGGCTAAAGTTTGTAGGACTCAGCTCCAAAGATTGTTGCCTTGCATGACCTTGTTTCACGAGATTCAACATCACAGTGTTGACGTGATTCGCCATTAGGCGCAACCGCAATTATTCCCTTCAAAACGCCACACTTTCACCCTGGACTTTGTTATTAGCTGGCAACCCGGCGTTGCCTCCAAGTCGACGAATTCTAAAGCCTCATGTACTCGGGCGACGTTGGCCTTGTGTCCTGGATCCCGTCGCCCGGTTCGTTAAAAATTGTCGTAAGGTATCGGCAATTGATATGAACTCTGGTACGAGAAGATCTAAAATCTCTCACCCTGCAGGTGACAAAAAGTCATGTATTCGCGAGAAGGAAACGTGCTCACTGAACAGTAGATCCAGCATCAAGAGTCAACTTCAAGACACATTCAATCCGCAATTCGGACTCTTGGCCGAGGGAACGACTCTTCGCGAGTGCCGGGGAGCCAGAATAACAACAAACTCGTGGTCAACAGCAGGAGAAGTCGGGGCGAGTAAACACAGAGTAAGACATGGACTGCGATGAGTACACAGAGACGAAAAGAGAAATAGAGCCGGAAAAGCTCGAAAGGACTCGACACAGTTGCCCACGTCGAAAATGTCCAGAGAGGAGTAAAATCTCTCCACACGAGTATGAAACCGGTGATCAAATGGACTCGATTCTAAATCTCGAGCGAGATCCGGAGAAGACGGCCGACTAGGTACAATTTGAACCGGCCGCTCACAGAATTGCCGCTTGCGATTGAAGCACAAGCCGGAATCCCCTCTGTGCTTAGCTTTGTTCCTTCTCCAAGAAATGATTCAATTCGCTGGAACGCCAAATTCCTCCTCATTCCTGTCCGAGAAAAGCTCGTCACGACTTCACCCGTCGCGTTGAATGTCTCGAGGTTGTCTAAGTAAAGCGTCTTCTTCCTCTGCTTCGCTGTCAGGTTATCAAGTCCCAGCACGATACGATCTTTAGCAGAAGTACGGCAGCCAGAGCCGGAGTTGCCAGCCTTTCAGCCTTACCGCAACCGACCGGGAGTTACATACCGCAAACAATCCTCCTCCTTATGCCCAACGCGGAGGCCCCCCCCTCGGACCATCAGACCCTCGCTGTCGACAGACTGAAGAACACGTCTGCTGCAGCCATGGGGCAGTGCGGCTGACCCGATTCCGCAATGCAGACCGCCAGACAATCAGCGGCTCCGCCAACCCGCCCGCCCAGGATAGCAATTCCGGGGAAAAGACGCGTTCCAGATCCGTGCCAGTCGTGCGACCGTCCGCCCGCGATCTGCACCGCTCGATATCCACGCGCCAGGAACAACGATTTGTTCGACTGGCTGCTGCGACTTCTAGTCCACTGTGCGGATTTCGGCTGGGCTGGGCTGGGCTTGTGGGATGATCTGGGATCGAGCATCGAGCTTCACCTACAGGATGCCCATACTTTGCTTTGGAGTGCGAATCGGGCTCCGTTAACTGCCAGTTCATTATTGCTCTCCCTTTACACAAGTCACATGTCGTAAATAGTTTAAGTCGCCCGCACTTTACGACCTTGTGGGTCCAGCAGTTATTTAGCTGCCGTGACACAATTTTTCATTGGTCCATTTCCCGATCTCTCACGGCACGACTCTTGATTGGGTCGGGATCTGCTCCGGCGCGACGCAATAACGGTTAGTGCCTCTGCCTCCACATTCAAATTATGTCCGGACTCAATACTCCAGACTATGCATGGACCTCCTGCACAGGCGGACGGGGCGGGCGAACGAACGTAGGGAGGTGAGGTGAAGGAGCGCTCCGGCTCGCCAGGCCTGTTGTACTCCACGCTTGCTCACCGGCGTGCATGACACGTGTGTGACGACGGGAAGGAGAAAGCTCGCTAGAGTCCGTCGTTAGCTCTCTCTGCTGGAAGTGGGACAGGGCGTGAAAAGGGTAGACGTGGACTCGCGAGTCCCAACACTCCACGTGACGGGACGCGGCAAAGCTCGGCACTTCGGTATGTGGTCTAGAGTCTACAGGTCGTCGTCCCGTCGTTGGCACAGAATCTTGTTGTCTGAATTGTATCAAAAATATGGTTCTCGAGAGGAAGCGAAGGCCGAATAAGCTAATCAACGACGTACGACTTTCTTTCTTTCGACCATATCTTTTCGGTTTGCGTGAGAATGAAGTGAAATAAGTACTAATACTTCAAGAGAGTTTTCGTCGCATGCATGACCGGAGATGCCAGGTGGCTCGGCCATATCGACGCAGCCTCTTTTCTATTCACATGGGCATGTTAAACCGGTCTTTTCATTCCGGCGTTTCAACGAGTTTTGAAGGCTGCCTTGGACCCGTTCAAGTCTCCCTCCATACCACGTGGAGTGAAGGTTTACGTACCCGAATTTAACCTCCACCTTCTAAATCGAAGTCTCGAGTGAAGGCGTTTACCATCATGCTCGTTGACATTTGAAAGAGCCACCCGTCCGACTATTGAGCACTGTAGGATCCATCCATGCCTGCCATCGAGGCATCCGTACGCTTCACCATGTTCATCCAAATTCAATACGAGTTGTAGGTTTTAGTTCCAAAGGCTGGGTGAGTCTGCTGACTCAGTTTGCCTGTGTCCGGTAGGAAAGGTTAGTCGGTCATCTCCTTGATTTCCTTTTAGTTTTGAAATTGTTTGAACCACCCCCAGGGCGTGTAAACTACTGTATCGGTAGACACGGTATCCGCTGACCTTTCCCTCATATTCCAATCCGTTTCGACGAACTACAACTATCACGTGGTTGCAGGACAAACCGCAATAGGGCAAGCCGGCAAGGTTTTGGAAGGAAGCTCATTTCGCGAGAATGGTCGGAACGGAGATCAAATTGGCATGTGCCTGGATTTCCAAGTCCTGGAGCTAATTCAACCTAATTTCACCGCAGAAGCTCGGCATCTCATGTTGGCAAAGCGATCGTCGCTCAGACCAATTCAAGGTCCTCTGTCGGTGGCTTGGTTTGTCGATGCTGCGTCGGATTGGTCTCTGAGTAGTGGTGTTTAGCTTAGCATGGAATCCCTTGTTGAACTATATCCCAGTCTTGTTGCCGTTCAGTTTAGATGCATGTCAACAGCGTTCCTGTTCCTTTCCAAATCCTCAGATTACAAAGCCTTTGTCATTAATGTCAAGGATAATGAGGACGGGACGGGAAAGGCCTAGTGGGAAGTTTCACCCCGTAGTGGTTTTTGCTTAAGAACGTTCCTCTACTGAAAAATTTCGCTCCGTGTAGTAACGACTGGCCTTCCGGTAGTCCATGAATATTGTATACACTAGACTTGTGTGACCGAGGTTAAAGTACAGAGTTTAAACTCCCAATAGTAACATACATTGGTGCTAAGGTTGGAAGTCAATGCTCGGAGGTGTCCCTCCATATGTTTGTACACAGATTTCTATCATCCAAAGGTCCAAGTAGCTGCCTTCTCAGACTAAGAGACGTATGGAGTTTAATGGGGAACCAGGGGTGGAAAAAACTCGATTCCTCTTACAAATAATTTTGGGTTTTTCATAAAACCTTACAAAATCCCAATTTCAACCATGATTCCAATCAGCAGGTTATCGATTGAAATTATTGCGCCTTTGGTGATCGTGTAGATTGTTATGTTAGATATCATCTTCATGTGGACAGCACAAAGACTTGCATTTGACAAGAACAAGATGGAGGAGTTGTGCATCAAGGCCCTTATCACGGATCAGTATACTCCAAAATTTATCAACTGCGTCACACAACTTACGACCAACACTCGCTCGAATTGCGAAGACGCGGAATGAACCTGTGGGGATTTTTAGTTATAAAAGAAAAACGCTAAGAAGGAGAAAATAACACATAGAATCCTCATAAACAAACATGGCTCTCACCCTTCTTAAACCCGGAAGGCCGAAGCCTTAAGTACAAGAGATCATAACTCTAATCTAGCACTCCAATCCATCCTCTATCAACTAACACTATCATAAGGACTCGAAGAAGTCCCGGACCTTCGCCGGAGGCCCTTATATACTAAGGCTTATAGGAATATAAGTGATATAAGTAATATATATTAGGATAATATATATTAGGAAGTTACCTAAGAAATAACCTAAATCTACACACTCGTAGATATAGCTCATAAATCTATCGTAATCTAAATACAACTAATATAGAAAGTCTTATCTTATCAACTTGATGAGGTGTAGGTCTTGCCACCGTCCTATGAACTTGATGTGGACAAGTAATGACCACTTGATCCAAATCTTCTAGAACTTACCACAAAGTCTTAATCCTTTACCTACTTTCTAATCCTAAGTAAATATCTCTAACACTAGTAAATCCACAACTTTACCCCCACACTTATAGCAAAATCCGTCCTTGGATTTTCACTAGTCTAACAAGTCTACTTAAGACTTCTTCAACTTGTCATGATTAACTCGATCCCGATAATTTGTTCCATCCAAGTTGCATAAGGAATAAATACCGTTAGTCACAAAAACTTCCTTAATTTTGTACGACCCAAACCACTTAGGTAGTAGTTTCTTGTGAGCTCTACGAAAATGCCTTGAGTCGTACATCATCACAAAATCTCCGGTTTTGAACACCGGCTTCTTCACCTTACTATTCCAAGACTTCTTCATTTTTGCTTGCGCCACTTCAATCACTTGTCTTGCCCTCAATTGGATCTCGTCCAATTCGTTAAGTTGGACTAACCGCTTTTGTTGGGACTCGTCCAAACCCAACCGTGTTTAGTAGCAGTGCGAAGGGTCATGAGTTCGTACTCAATTGGAAGCAAAGCCTCCATACCATAGGCTAGACGAAAAGGAGAGAACCCAGTAGCCCTTTTGAATGTAGAGTTGTATACCCACATTGCATGATGAATCTTTAGATTCCAATCACTAGCATTCATCCTTGTTTTTGCTTCCTTTGCAAGCATAGAGCACAACGTCTTGTTCGTTTGCTCCATTAACCCGTTCGTACTCGGCTTATACATAGTTGTGAACCTATGTTTAATCGCTAATCGTCCCATCAAATCCTTCCATACATCACTCGTAAATTGTTGTACATTATCCGATACCACCTCTAAAAGAATATCAAAGCGAGTGACAATGCGTTCGTACATAAACCGCGCTACCTCATTCTTGACCGAAGTTTTCAAAGCCCGAACCTCCGCAAATTTTGTAAGATAATCCGTAGCAACAACTATGAAGCGATTTTTCCTCTTAGTGACCTGTAAAGTATCCATCAAATCGATGCTCCGTTTTTCAAATGGCCCTAATGGAGGAATATGGTGCAAGTTGCCGCTCACCGTGGATTTATTCGCAAATGCTTGACACACTTTGCAACGCTTGCAATAATCAAAGTTATCCTTGAACATCGTTGGCCAATAGTTACCCGCCGTAAAGATTTCCTCCACCGTAACTCGCCCCGCAAAATGTCCCCCACAAAAACCTTCATGAAACTCTCGTAACAATTTTGAGACATCACTTTTTCCCACCGCACGTCAAAGAATACCATCTCTTCCACAAAAATGAAGCATTTGACCTAGCAAGGTATAAGATCAACTCTTGTGTGCAATTCTTGTACTTATTTGTTTTGTTGCACCCTCCAGAAAATTCATACCTTGGAGATATCGGATGATATCTTTGTACTCCTTCAGTTCATACTCAATGTTAATCGACATTAACATGGCATCCGGAAAATCGTTGTCTTCGGACACGATTCCCACCTCCTCCTCCATTCGTGAGAGAAAGTCAACATTTCCATGTTTCCTACCCGCTCGGTGTACAATCTCCAAGTCAAATTCTTGAAGCAAAATTATCCATCGTGCAATTCTACCCGTTGCATTTGGTTTGTTGAGAAGGTAAACCAATGTTTGATGATCCGTCACCACCGTGGCCTTTGTACCTAGTAAGAAGTGTCGGAATTTCTTCAACGCGAAAACAACTCCTATGCCCTCTTGCTCCGTGACTGTGTAATTCATCTCAGCCGACGTGAGTTGTCTACTAGCATAGTGAATTGGATGATAGTATCCCTCTTCATCCAATTGTGCTAGAGTTGCCC